TTTAAAAAGAGAGAAAAGATAAACACCCAAACTACCAAGCACCGATTTACAAAGAATCTTCCTACCACCAAACGATAAAGATTTGGCCTTCCATGCTGAGAGTTTCTTTTGGAATTTATCCACTAACTTATTCCAATTACTTCTTCTACCCATCTGTGCGCCTACCGGAAGACCCAATAAAGGAACGGGATAGAAGAAAACTTACAATTCATTCTTTGAGCAAGCAACTCTGCTTCACCTATGCCAGTGCCAATGCCATATAAACAACTTTTCTGCAAATTAATTTTCAACCCCGATGAAAGATAAAAACATCTTAGCAAACGAATCAAGTTTAGGCCATTCGAAACTGACCATTCCCCCAAAAAAAGAGCGTCGTCAGCATATTGTAGATTCTCTATTATAGGGCCACCTCTAGGGAGGGTCAACCCGTTAAAAACTCCTTTAATACGAGCTTCAAACACAACCACCCTAAGAGCCTCCATAGCGATTATAAAAAGGAAAGGTGCAAGAGGGTCACCTTGTCGCACACCTTTTTCCATGATAAACTCCTCCGTAGGGTTTCCATTCACAAGAATAGATACACTAGCATTAGATAGAATTCCTCGTATCCACTTTCTCCAGGTATTACTGAAACCCATTTGCCACATAACCTCGTCTAAAAAATCCCAGTTCAAATTATCAAACGCCTTCTCAAAGTCAGCTTTGAAGATTAACACTTTACGCTTTGCCTTCCTAGCCCAAGAAATAGACTCGTTAACAATTAACGGACCATCCAGAATGCATCGACCCTTAATGAAAGCCGACTGCTCCTTCCCGATAATCGAATCCAACACCCCTTTGAGTCTATTCGCCAGCAACTTGGAGACAATTTTACAAACACAACCAATAAGATTAATCGGCCTATAGTCTTTGAACGACAAAGGGTCCTTAACCTTTGGAACAAGAGTAATGAAAGAAGCATTGCATCCCCTTCCGATATCAGCATTGGCCTCGAAGGCCTTGACCGCTTTGAACACATCTTCACCAATGACATCCCAAAACTTTTTAAAGAAAGCCAAAGAATAACCATCAGGCCCCGGCGCTTTCTCATTACCACAGCCCCAAACAGCGATTTTTAACCTCCTCCATAGTGAAAGGCAACTCGAGCGTCTCCATTTGACTTAGCGAGATTCTTTTGAAATGGTTGCTCTTATAAGACGGCCGACACACCTTATCTTCAAAAATTTCTCTTTGAAGAAAGCGAAAGCTGCTTTCTTCAGCTCTATCGGATCTTTAATCCATCTTCCATTTACACCAATACCATGAATATTTAACTTGCTATATCTGCATCGAAGAAGACCGTGAAAGAAACGAGAATTTTCATCGCCTTCGAGAGTCCACCTGGCTTTTGCCTTTTGCCTGAGATCATTAATAACCGCTTCATCAATCTCCAAAATACGTTTCATAGTATATGTTCTAATTTGCGCATCAACAGCATTCAGATTACCAGCTACCGCTTTCGAATCTAGATCATTGATCTTAGCAGTAAGAGTAGCCTTCTCAGCTCTAGAAGAGGCCGATCTTGAGATACTCCAAGCTTTAATCTTCACCTTCAGCCGCTTTAAATTTGACAAAAGGAACCGAATATTGTTTGGATTCGAGTACCCATTGCAATTCCTTATCCAACCCTCTTTCACCATCTGCACCAATTCAGGATCACTAAGCCAAGAATTAAAAAGTTTAAAAGGGATCGGCCCAAAATCAACGTCACAGCCATCTAGCAGAATAGGACAATGATCCGAATATAAAAATGGCAGCGCAGTCACACCAGCCTTAGGCCATAAGCCGAGAAAACTCTGAGATACTAAGAAACGATCCAGTTTACTCCATTTATCACCGTCAGCACTTTTCCTCGTGAACTTTCGACCGCCCAATTTGAGATCCAAGAACCCAATCTCAGAGATAAAATTATTGAAAACCAAAGTACTTCCAGCATCAAATTCCGACCCAACCCTTTCCTCCCGACTTCTAACAACATTAAAATCACCGCAGCAAATCCAAACATCAACAACTAAAGACTCCACAAGATCCTTAAGAGATGACCACAACCGATCTTTACCACTGGCATCTTGAGGAGCGTAGACATTACAAATACCTAACTTGACCCCGTTGGGGCGCCAAGTACCAATAACGATCAAATAATTCCTGTCCGAGAAAGAGTTTATCTTGATGAAAATAGATGAGTCCCAAAAGGAGACCAGACCACCCGACCTACCAACCGGATCAACCGAGGCCATCTCAACATTCCTACCCCCCCCCACACCGAAGAGCATAAAAACTCTTTAGGAAAAGACTCTTTGGAAATTCTAGACTCCTGAATACATAGAAAGCTCACTCTGTTAACCTGCTTGAGCTCCTTCACCCACTTCCTTTTGACGCCTCCCCCAAGACCATTGACATTAAGTGAAAGAATTTTTAACATAAACAACCAACATCTCCATCAACTTGCAAGGAATCTTTAACCAACTCTTCTTTCCCTTCCAACTCAAAACCAACCATACAACCAACCCGAATAGTTTCATCAACTTCTACAATAGGAACCTCGGAATCCAGAACAACAATCGGATCCTCCTCTACCACCCTGTCAAGACCTACTACCTCATTATTGGACTCCTCGACCTCCAGAACCTTTTTAGATCTAGTACCGCACTTTCTTCGACGTTTCAGACGCAAATCATTTTTCCTCGAGACAATCGACCAAGCTTGACTATCTTCCAGTTCATATTCAAAATCATCCAAGGAGGATCCCCCTATATCTTCAACCGGAGCAATCTCTTCTTCTTTCTGGCCAACCACCTCATCTGTAAAGCCAAAACTCTTCGGAGAAGTATTGAGATCTAATACCTCATTCCCGAGATCCCTAGAAGGCACAGTTCCAAAAGGGCCATCCTGAGAACACAGGCCCATCTTGAAGCCCCATGGGATTAAAGTTATTCACCATCGGCCCACTTTTAACGTCCCCATCATTAACCAATCCAAAGCCCTTACCGGTGTCAACTTCACGAGAAATAAATCCATCCACCTCCTCATTTTGATCCCCAAGCTGATCATGGCTAGGAGAGATGGGTTCCCTGCTTTTACACTCGACCGAGGGTCCATTCCGACAACCACGAGTCGACTGATCCTCTTCATCCTCCTTTGTCTGCCGAGACTGTGAGAAATCAGACTGACCCGGAGAAGAAGAAAGGAAGCCGTCATCGAATAAATTTTCTGAACGACAAAACAAATCCGAATCCGAGTCTCCATTAGCATCCTCGAAAAAGGAACCTATGGACATGCCCTCCGCAATTTCTTCAGCCACGCGAACATGAACAAGAATCCCATTAACAATTATCTCAAGAGAATCCATAATCCAGTTTTCCTCACCAGTAAGTATACCGACTTTCCCAAATTCCCGATTTCTGCTAACCGCCGAACAATTTTCAGGAATTATAACTTCTCCCTATCTACCAGCAATAGCAGCAAACACACTAGGGGTCCAAGTTTGGATTGGCACACCATGAATAGTGACAAAAGCTATCCTATCCTTGACCACAAACTAATCATTCCAAAAATCTAATTTGCTAAACCAGTCACTCCAAACACTATTATTATTGAACAGAAAGTTTTGAGCATCGGCATAACTCTTTAAGCAAACCTGAGCATACAAACCCCCCAGATATCTGACTAACAACTCCTGTGAACTTGTAATTTCCCCAAATTTTTTAAAATTACATAACACATCAAAGCTACGAAACTTCCCAATAAGAGACGATTTCAGCTTACCTTTCATTTCATTCGAAGAAGAAAATTTGAGAGGAAGACTCTTATGACCCCGGAAATTAATCGTCTCTTTGCAAACTCCGTTCTTGACATCATCAGCGTACGAACCGGAGCCTCTGAGAACCTGCTGATCCTTCCTCACTGAGGTCTCGGCCTCCACCTTTTGAGAATAACTCTTATCCAGTGACATGCCCTTCACCTCCCTCGTGGCTTTCCTAACATACTTAGCCACATTTGCTCTTAGCTTTAACGAACCAAAGGAAACCTCACATAAAGCTTTTTCCATTCGTTTGACATCTTTAATACCCAGGAATCTAACAAAACCAAATCTCAAACCCCTCGAGTCCCTCTTCCTTGCAATAAACACGTCGACCACCTACCCAATTCCTTCATCCTGCCCTAAAGAAACTTCTCCTCCAAAGCATCTGGGAAATTTGTAACATAGAAACTGGTTGCGTACCTGTGAAGCGATTCTTCCACTTTGAACCCCAAACCACGATTCACCGACTCGCTTTTCTTCTGTGTGTCGTCAAAGTTCCTTCCTCTCGATACACCAAGTCGAAACGCCGACTCGACTTGTTTCTGTGCTTCGCCGTTGTTCCTTCTCCGGTGATTGACTTTTGGTCTTCTCGGACTCTGACTCTCCATCTTCTACCCGATTCTGGTGACTCTTTGTTGGTTATAAGTTCTAATCCCATTAAAAGTACATACTTTTTTTGTGAAATATTTAAGTTTAGGACTCTATAAAATTAATATAAAAACCGACACGAAAACTACAAAAAATATGAAGTGTAAAATCATATATAATGAAAATAGACATTTGCACCAATGTCGAGAATCTGTTCCAAAAATAAATATTCATAATAAAAAGTCATACATAATTTTAGAAAAATGTAATTATTATATTTTTTATTTAAAAAAAACAAATTTCCCCTCAATAATAAAGAAAGAAAATTTATTTATCTCATAATTAAAAATAATATCGAAAAATAAACATTTACTTCTAAAAGTAAAACTTATTTAAAAAAAAAAAACTATAATAAAAATAAGGGCAGAGGGCTTCGGAAATAAAAGGAGGAAAAAAGAACTTTCTAGAAAGAACAAATTACAAGTATACCCCTAGCGTGGAATACGGTGGCTAAAGCCACCGGGAAATTCCTAAACATTGAAAACAGTGGCGCATATAAAAGACGAGTCTCGACCGTCCACTTCTCCGGCTCTCCTCCAAATTACCTCTACATTATCATATAATACGATTCAATCCATTCCCATCTACATCGTCTCCGATCGCCGACTCTTTCTTCCGGTCAGGTAACTGTTTCCTTCCTCTTTCATCTAATTTCAGTTTCTTCTTTCATTGCACGCCATGCCATCTCTTTACAATGTATCTTATCGAATTCTAGATCTGTTGTTGTTTGGTTACTGTTAACATTTGATGATTTCAATCGATACCCTACTGTTTATGTTGTCGGTTGGCCTCGTACATCACATGTATCAATTCCGGCTTCATTGATATTCTGCTTTCTGATTTTCTTTTTCATAATGGCGTCGAATCGATGATGAAATTTGTAAAATCTTTTGATTATGTTGTGTTATTAAATAATGGTTTAAGTTTGGCTTACCTGATTTTCTTTACATTTTCTTCTCATGCAACATATTTGGGAGGTTTAAGATTACATGTACCTAATTCCAGTAATTTGACATTTTTATATGATTTTGTCGCGAGTTTTGGATGTTTTCTTCATCAACGTTGGTGGAGTTGTCACAAGAGTTCACCTGCCATTTTTTTGAAGTTTTTGATTTTTAATTACATGTTTATAACATTTTCAGTGATGACAAAACAGGGCAATCTTGTGTATCAAGTTGAAAATTGTCAAAATTCTGTAATGTTATTAATGTGCAAATGCATATTTGAATCTATCTTCCCAATAAATATGCAGTATTTCATTTATATCGGATAATTAAGTATCTATAATTTTGTCAATGATAAGGAAACAGGGAATGATGTGAAGTGTCATCAACATTTCACAAAAATATGATCTTGGATTGAGATTCCCAAAATGCAAACATTAGATTTTGATGATTGTGGGTGCAGAATCTCAATCCCCTCAAGCATGTAGGATCCAATTGGCAATTGGAGGACTTGTAGAATTATAGGAAGTCTGGAATAGACTCGGCTGTAGGATCCCAGAAACAATTTTGTGTTATGTATAAATTTGTGTTATTTCGTTTTGAATCTCGACACTCAATGTTGAACTTAGACGTAAAACAAATCTTATGTTCTAGAATCAGCAAAGCAAAATACAGTCATGATATTTCAATCATACCATATAGGATGAAATTGGTGCTATGGCACCTGCCCTAATTGGTTTTTATGTCGAATACTGGAGTTCTAGTAGAGGTTCATTTCATATACAGATTTTCTTTAGTCACTCAAAGGAAAGCAAGTTGGTGAATTTCATAGGTTGTGAAAGTTGATTTTAGTTCTGCATTTTGTTAAAGAATTTACAGCATGTTCTTGATTTGTCTATTTTATGCATTTTTTTTTAAATTTTAATATTATTAGCGACAATCTGATGGCATTCTAACTTCTGTTTCAGTTGTACGCTTCTGTTCAAACAAAGAAACCTATCTGCTTGTTTGTTTGTTGCCTCCAATTCTAGCACTCAAGTTTCATGTCTGAGCTCGACATCCAGATTCCAACTGCCTTCGGTATGTTCAAATCATGTTAAATAAATCTTCATTTGTCTAATCTATCATCACATAACACTTGGGCTCCTTCTTCTTCTTCTATGCCAAAATAATTATGAAGGATGATGGAAATTAACAGTATCGAGGATCATATGCTTACTGGTCTTTAAATATGTGATATTTTTGTATGTTTGTATTCTAGAATTTTGATTGATGTTTATATTTTGGGTAAGATCCATTCGCTGAGGCAAATGCTGAGAACTCAGGTGCTGGGTCAAAGGAATACGTTCATATACGTATACAGCAACGCAATGGTAGGAAAAGCCTGACCACTGTCCAAGGGTTGAAGAAAGAGTTCAGCTACAATAAGATACTCAAGGACCTTAAAAAGGAGTTTTGCTGCAATGGTACCGTTGTTCAAGACCCTGAACTTGGCAAGGTGAGCCTCTGTATTACTCCGTAGCAACATATGATTCTTCAGTACCCCATAGTTATAACTTTGTGACACTAGTTTTAGTCTAAAGAGCTACATAGAAATGTTGCAGGATACATGTGTGATATGTGGATACTGGGATTTGTAAATTTTTAAAGATTAAGGATATGATTATGCAAGCTTAATATCAACAGAACAGATAACATCCTCTTTAGGGTAGAGGCCAGATCTGTTGTCTGCGTACATCTTGACCTCAAGACTCTACTTCCAAGTGGGACATATATTAGGTGTGTTTGGTTTGGCTTTACAATACAAATAACATAACTCACATAAATCATATTCGTATCTTCCATATATAAACTAAGCATATTCCCAAGCTTTAGTTAATATCTGTCCCCAAGTGTATGTTGCTTTTCATCGTCTCTTCTTCCTCTCTTGTTCCCATATTATACATGTTTTACTTGGATTTTCAGATTTGATCTCTAATTCTACTATTTTTTATTTTCCATCTCTTCTTTTTTAAGAAATACCAAAATATCCCATTTGGTAACCCATACTTAGTTGTCAACAATTCACGGAGACGGTCAATTTTGCACCCGATGCACCTGATACACCAAGGAATTGGAATCTTTAAGTGTCTTGCTTTCTAGTTTGTTTGTTGTTGGAGCTTCTAAATCTAAAAGTTGTGGTCCAAAACCCGAACAAGAAACCTTGAGGAGTTGCTGAATGGGTAAGACCTTGGGGGTTTGCTCCCTAGAGGTTATTGGTTCAAGTCTTCTCAGGGCTATTAACTTCATGATCCCAAGGTATAAGTCGAGGTGCGCACAAGCTGGCCTAGACACCCACGGATACCCAAAAACCTGAGCAAGGATTGTGACGATTATGATATACAAGCATTTTGGTTGTCTTTTACGCGCATGAGTACAAGTCAACCCATCAGCCCTTTTTGCTTCGTATAAAATGATGTGGTTAAATAATTGGTATCCGGAACGCAGGTTATCCAACTTCAAGGCGATCAAAGGAAGAACGTATCCACCTTCCTCGTTCAAGTAATCATCAATGTTAACAATTAGAATATATATACTTCCTCTATCTCAAAATGAATTATCCACATTTCTATTCTATTTTGTCCCGAAATTAATGCTTACATTCAAAAGTAAGCTTATGCTTTCTAGTTCTATCCTTAATTCAGAGATGAAAAAAATCCATTACACCCTCTCTTATTAGGGATAGAATTGTCACTTAGCTACTTAAAAGTTATAATAACTGTATATTTTTGTACAGTTTTTCACTGCGGACATTTATTTTGGAGCGGAGGGAGTACAAATTTCATTAAGTATGTTTCTTTTCTTTTTCTTTCTAATGTGTGTGTTGGTAGGCTGGCATTGTGAAGAAAGAACACATCAAGATTCATGGTTTCTAAATAGCGGATACTACTACTACTACGACTACTACGGCGGCGGCGGCGGCATAGTACCGAGCTAGCAACTTGTGCTGTATCTAAGTGATATTAGCTCTTCTTGTTGCTTGTAATCCTTCATTATCTGCTGAAATCATCTTTTTCCTTGGTCTTATATTCTTTTATATATATAACAAACCCATTAGAGATTGAAAATAAACAGGTAGCTAGTGTTCCTGAAGTGTAAGTATAGTTTCAGGAAGAAATGGCAATCTTTTTTTGTATTGTTTCTTGTTCTAATTCTAATTATGTAACAGGAGATATTTATCTGCTTCTAATGTACCTTCAGTTCTTTACATTTACTGTTCTGGTGGTTCATGGTCAGTGGCGGATCCAGGAATTTTATACATTGGGGTCACTTAAACTAACAATGTACCAACACATCAATCATTATAATTAATAATACGTGACTACATAAGTTGATTTCTACGAGTTTTTATCATTTGAAAACGAGTCATTACATCTTGATTTGTAACCTTAGCAAGTATTTCTTTTTCTACGGCACAAATGACACGCATTCAAAAAATCGTCACAAATTCAATTGCGCAAAGCTGGCTTCACAAGCTTCATTACAGAAAAACATCTCTCGAYTGTTGYGGTTGCAACAGGCAAAACCAATGCAAGCTTCAATAATCGATAAACCAAAGGAAACACAAGATGTTTCCTTGTTTCAATCATCACACTACCAAGCTCGGATATACCTTTCAAATTAGCAAATAATTCATCATGTTTGTAACGCCCCAACCCACACATTGCATGTAACACATATTTCATACAAAAGAAATACATAGTATTCCATTCAGGTCCCTTAGTACAAGAATCTAACATGATCAAATACAAGGTCCAAAAATTCTAATACATCACTTGTACTAATCAATCAAAACTGTACATCAAAACAAATCTTCAAGCAGAAATGCATATAGGAAAATATTAAATCTTCCTCTTTCCCTTACTGTCCGTACCTCCTGCAACACATAGTTAAAATCAAAAAACGAGGGTTAGACCGAAAGGTCTAGTGAGATACCCTATTTATGTTATTGCAGGGTGAAAATCACCAAAAATCTTTATGGAAAACAATTATTCATATATATAACAAATATATGAACAAATAAGAACTCAATACCAGACTTCTTCCATATTACA